AAAAAAAAAAAAAAAGGCTTAAATAAAAGTGTAAGATATGAACAACCCAAGTAAATTTGAAGACAGAGGGAAGAAGACAAATGAGAAAATAACTGAAGATGCTTTAAGAGACTACTGAATACACAGGGGAACAAGATGCCTTAGGAAACAGGAAAAAAATGACAAAGAATACATGGAGAGAGAAAGTACTCTTCTTTAAAGATTAGAAAAAAAGAGAAATCAAAATGACCTGTAAGAGACCAATGACCTTAGAATCAAAATTGCATAGGACTCCAGTGAAGGCATAAAACTATAAAATTCTCCCAACTGCTTATCCTTCAGGCCCTGCTCTACTCAAGAATTACTGATATTGGGGTGCCTGGGTAGCTCAGTTGGTCAAGGTCTGACTTCGGCTCAGGTCATGATACTCGCAGCCCGTGAGTTCGAGCCCCCGCACCTGCTTCAGATTCTGTGTCTCCCTCTCTCTGCCCTGCCCCCACTCATGCTCTGTCTCTCAAAAATAAACATTAAAAAAAAAAAAAAAGAATTACTGATATCTACAGAATGCTACACCTCTCTCTGGTCATATGCTTATAGTTAACCCTTATCCTTCTACCTGATCATTGATCAGTCAGATCATTCAGATCTCTTGTGAAGATCTGTTCCTTCTTGTAGTAATACTTAACACTAAGAAGTCTCTTTACTTGCCCTTTCCTCACTGGTTGCCCTTTTCCTGTGTAAACTATTGTCATATTCAATTTCTACCCATCTTTCAATGTCTGGACAAAATGATGCTTTCTCTATGAAGTCATTACTACCAATTCCCACTTGGAAAAAGCTTTCTCCCTTTTAAGAAAACTGTACTTAATAATAATAATCATACCCTATCGGCGGCTTCTTTTAAGTTAATCTTTTAGATTTTCAACTGCTATTTAATTTTTCCGTATCTGTTATGCCTGTCTCCACAGCCAGATTAATAACATCATCAAAAGAGGATCTGTACTCCTCTACAGATTATATAATACTGCTCAATATTTTATCTCCTGTATCGTATGGTCGAGTATGAAGGAGTGGAACCTTCGCTGTTAACCTGTTCTTCATCGTCTATGCAAAACTTCTGGATTATGGCCACTGCCTCCCAACTTGCACTTTTGCCCTCTTTCCATGGAGAAGCTTCGCTGGCTAAATTGTATATACCAGTTTCCTTCCTTGGTATGCTCTGCCCTACCTACTGTCCCTAAAACTTAATAGTTATACAGTAGAAAATGACTGCATATCCTAGTCATGATTATGAGAAACACTATGGGCTGAATTGTGTCCACAAAATAGATATATTGAAGTCATAGTCCCCAGTACCTCAGAAGGTGACCTGATTTGGAAATAGGGTCTTCACAGAGATAATCAAGTTTTTAAAAATGAGGTCATTAGAGTGGGTCATAATCCAATATGACTGGTGTCCTTGTAGAAAGGAAAAATTTGGACCCAGACATATGCACAGATTATATGAAAAGAGACAGAGCAAATGCCATTAGAGTGACTCATCTACAAGCCAAGAAACATCAAATATTGCTAGCAAGTCACCAGAAGCTGGGGAAAAAGAATGAAACAGATTTTCCCTCACTGCTGTCAGAGTCAATCCAGCTAACACCTTAATTTTGGATTTCTAGCCTCCAAAACTATAAAACAATAAATTCCTGTTGTTTAAGCCACCCAACTTTGGGACTCCGTTATGGCAGCCCTAGCAAACTGATAAAATCAAGACTACAACGCGTGAAAGAATCAAACAGCAGGTGGTATTCTTTTTTTTTTTTTTAATTTTCCTTAACGTTTATTTATTATTGAGAGACAGAGAGCATGAGCATGAGAGGGGCAGAGAGAGAGGGAGACACAGAATCCGAAGCAGGCTCCATGTTCTGAGCTGTCAGCACAGAGCCTGACACAGAGCTTGAACCCACAAACCGTGAGATCATGACCTGAGCCGAAGTTGGACGCTTAACCAACTGAGTCACCCAGGTGCCCCAGCAGGTGATATTCTTATAATTATCTCATAAAAATTAAAAAAAAAAAAAATCACACAGGGATGTATCAATTCTACATTCTTAATGCTTACAACAAATGCTTTATACTCTGCCATATGACCAAACCAAGCTAAATTCTCAAGTGAATCCTTCAGATGAGTAAGCTTAATAATCCTGAAAGTATTTAATAATGAGTACATTTGAAATGTACCTAAATCTCTTAAGATTTTCTGAACCCAAATGTTGGTTTAGGTACTCTCACAAACTGACAGCAAGAGACTTAATACTAAATAGTTCAATTTTTTGACAATGAGTGACTTTCAAAATTTTAAATGTGTATATCCTTTAGCAGAGCAATTTTCACTTCTATTTTTACCTCATATGCTCTACTTCTGTACTTTTCACAACTTTAATTAAAACAAAGAAATGTTAATCTCTAAACTTCACTTTTAATAGGAAGAAAACAACGTATTATATATGCACATTTAATATTTGCGATGGTGCTATTTCAAGTCTTCTTTCCGGATCTACCATTACCTAACTCTGCAATCTCAGGCAGGTTACTTAATACCTGTGGTCTCATTTATAAAATCATTTCTAAAAATATGTGATCATAGAACAAAGAACAAGAGCAAGAAAAGTGCCTATGTATTTTGAGGTTGAAAGGAAAGAACCTAAGAGCCAAAGTACCACAGGAAATAAAGAAGACTGCCAGAAAATTATGTCTTGGAGTCCTTCGCCAGACTGAGTTGATCTAAAAATTTCTTCCACAAACATATATTGCTTATATTTTCATTTTTTAATTAAATGAAAAATTAATCTGTGGTGCTGAACCATATGTATATATAGTATAATCCCATTTACTGTTTGAACACCTAAAAAGATATAAACCACTTATTAAAAGTTAGTATTTCTAGGGCATAACACTGGGAAAAGTACAAAGTTTCATTTTCTACTACTTTACCTCTGGGTTTTCTGACATTTTATAATGAGAACACATTAGTATTACTTTAAAATATACGTATTTTTAAGATATGCAGTTATTAAAAAAATTGAGCCACAGTTTCCACATAATTACTGGAAGTATTTAAGGGGCAATTAAATGCCATCATTAAATTTACAGTATATACAAAGATTTTAAGCTTGAGTTTTAAAGCCCTTAAAAACAATTTAAGTGAGTTATATATTAAATGAAAAGTTTTAAAGTCTAATACCATTTATTTCTGCATTTCAGAAATACAGCTTTTGGCACTACATCAGGGGATGGTAAACTATGGCCTGTGAGCTGGCTGCTTGTTATTCTTTTCCAAAGAAGAAATCCAGATAGTTAACAAGCACATGAAGAGGTGCTGAAACCTCATTACTCATCAGGGAAATGCAAATAAAAACCACAATGAGATATCACCTCACACCTGTTAGAAAAGTTATTATCAAAAACACAAGAGGTAACAAGGCAAAAATGTGGAAAAAGCGGGAACCTGCATGCACTCTTGGTGAGAATGTAAATGGGTACGGTCACTCTGGAAAACAGTATGGAAATTCCTCAAAAAATTAGAAATATAATGAACTACCATAGGATCCAATTAATTACATTTCTAGGTATTTATCTGAAGGAAATGAAAACACTAACTCAAAAAGATATCTCCAAACGCTTGTTCACTGCAGCACTACCTGCAACAGCCAAGACATGGAAATAGCCTAAGTGGCAACTGATGGATAAATAGATAAATTGTGGTGAAAAAAAAATGTGTGCGTGTGTGTGTGTCGTGTGTGTGTGTGTATAAGAATATCAGTCAGCCAAAAAAATGGGGTAAATCTTGCCACTTGCAACAACATGCACAGACCCCAAAGGCAATGTGCTAAGTGGCGTAAGCCAGAGAAAGGCAAAGACCCAATGAACTCACTTACATATGGAATTTGAAAAAATAACAACAACAAAATAACCCCTTAAAACTGAACTCATAGATGTAGACAATGGACTGCTGGCTGACAGAGATGGGGAGCTGGAGTTGGGGAATATGGGTGAAAGTAACCAAAAGGTACAAACTTCCAGTTATAAAACAAGTAAGTCCTGGAGATGTCATGTACAGGATGATGACTGTATCAGCAATACTGTATTGCATATTTAAAAGTTGCTAATAAAATAGATCTTAAAAGTTCTCATCTTGGCACAAGAACAGACATTCAGATCAATGGAACAGAATAGAGAACTCAGAAATGGACCCACAAACGTATGGCCAACTAATCTTTAACAAAGCAGG